TTAGTTATTGACATAGTGCAAAGCTCATGTAATTTACTAAATTTAGTACTTGGTTGGTTTTTCGTTCAAACACATTATTCTGTAATAACAGAAACCATCCAAATTACTTAACATCTCTCACAAAGCAACCCTCAATGGCATCACTATCCAAAAGATAATCACCACAATGGCATATCATTCAATAATTTTCATGGCAGACAGTAACCATAAATATCCACCACTGTAACAGATTAAGTACTAATATTTATGGCCTACTCCATATAAAATACTACAATTATGCATCAAAATCAAGATTGCGTGGTTATATCGGGGAAGAACACTGGAATGTTGAACGAACTGATGTGCTAACAGAATACGTATCAAAAGCGCATATGTGTCTATGTCATTCACTTTCATAGCCAATATGAAGTTGAGAAGTTGCATTTTCCATAAATTTATTGCAAAAAAATCAAACATTTAATGACACCTAAAAACAGAACAATATTTAAAAAAAAAAATGCTTGCCTGAGCTTACGAGTCTGAATTTGATTGGTGAAATTTTAAAAGATATGGGAAATACCTTCTGATACTGTGATAATTCTGCATAACGAAATATTAGAGTTTCAAAAGCTGCTCTTAATGACACAATCGGAAGAAAAATTTGAGTTGTAAACTTTGACCATGCTATTTGACTTAAAGCAGAAAAGACACACTACAGCAATATGAAAAATCTTATATCTATTTGGATACACACATGAATTGTACAAGAGTTATCTCCGCAGCTAGCTAAGAACAAGAATTCTTGTGGACTAAACGTATTAGGGTTTTCATTTGCATTTTGATTACTTGGCTATAGTTTTTTTTTTTTTTTTTTAAAAGGCTAAGTAATTTTTTTATTAAATTTTTTTCTAACAGGGGAATTATAGTTAGTTTTTTCAACGCGGAGATCATAAAGATTTCGTTGTATAAGTAGGTTTATATATTTTTTTTAAGGCTAATTAGTTTTTTTATTAAGCTTTTTCCTAATAGGGGAATTGGAGTTGGTTTTTTCTATGCGGAGATTGTAAAGATTTCATTTTATAAGCAGGTTTATATGTATAACACATGAAATTAAATAAAAATTTTAATTATTTGTCAAACATATTCAAACTCTTTAGAGCAAACAAGTCACTGTTAGAGAAATTATCCACTTGCTTATGCATATTTAGTGGCAGCAGCAAATTTCAAGGTGAAAATGAAGTAGAAAGTTTTTTAACCATTGTCTCCAAGGGAAGTGGCTGAAATGGTGGAAACCCCCACCTTGTCTTCTCAAAACGACCTCCCACGACGTCGTCTAAAGACTAGTTTATGATAGAGCATCCCACTATATGGGATTATTTTTTGAACCTAGGACCTCTAATTCTTGAGGAGCATGATTAATATTAGGGTAAATCCCACTTTATCCCCTTGTGGTTTAGCATTTTTTCACATAACTCCCCAGTGGTTTCAAAAGCTATACATAACCCCCTTATGGTTTGGATTAAAGTGTCAAAGTGACGGAAATGATCATTCGCAACGGCGTCACCTAAAATGTCAAAATTACCCTTATGTAAAGTTGAAAATTATTTATTAACCAAGGGGGATTATGTGTATATTTTGAAAATCATAAGGGGATTATATGGTAAAGTACTAAACCATTAGGGGGTTATATGGTAAAATATAAAAAGCATACGGGGTTAATGCGTCATGTATTTATAAGGGTAATTTCGACATTTTTAGAAGTTCCGTTACGAGTGACTATTTCCGTCACTTTGACACTTTAATCCAAACCATGAGGGGGTTATGTATAGCTTTTGAAACTATAGGGGGGTTATGTAAAAAAAGGATAAACCACAAGGGGGTAAAATGTAATTTACCCTTAATATTAAATTAGTCTTTTTTTACTCTTTTAATTTTAGTCAAATGTAATGTAGAAAAAATGAGAATGAAGAGATATTAAACATATTCGCCTTCCATCTAGCTGAATTGGAGTCCATATCTAGCAATAAAATAAAATATTAGAATATGCTTTTCCAAAATGTTTTATATCAAATTAATTGCCATGTGGGAACTTCACCGGGAATAATAAAACATAGCAAATAGATTAATCAATCAAAATTCAAAAGAATGAAGATGCATCAATAACTGATTAAAGTTGAGTAATCATTTTTCTAAATTAATTACCAACCACAATTATAATCAACCTTAGGCATTAATCGATTAAAACAATCTTGTAAACATGATAACTTAGTATCAAAAAGCACATCCCCATTTTTTTTTTTTTTGTTTTGGCTTTTGTATTGCCATTTCCCCTATTTAGTTTTCCTTTTAAAGTAATTAACATTATTCACAACGTCAGTTAGTTAGTGCTGATCAGGCATTCGTTAGACAAACCTTCGTCTTGTATTGGTTTCGATCAATCTAAAATAATTGTTTTGCTCTTATATCTTATCTTTTTAATTACTAGACTTTTTATGAATTTCAATTTGAACTCGGTATCTATTGAAAGAAAAGAATAAAATCATTGAGGGAAAAAATGGATCTGGACCATATTTTTAATAAAATCATTAACAAACATTTCAAAGAAATAATTGATTGAGCCATCAACAATAATTCTACGAACCCTTCTTGGATTTCGAAAAGGAACAGTAAACATCGCCAATTTTTATGGCCAGAACCATAATGTAACATGGAGGATAGTCAACAAAGTATATATAACAAAAGTATAAATCAAAATTGTAGTATTGAACTTGATCATCCGATCTCCTAAATGAACCCTGATACTGCACCTGAACATCTGTCCATCTCCATAACGCGTCGTAACTCGTAAGGTAAGCATTGCGTTTACTCTCTGTTTGGTCGATCCATTATGGTGGCCATGTCAAATCATTATTTATTAGTGCATAAAAGAGAACAACCACCGTGTCCTGGGAGGCCGAGCAACTTGAAAGTGTTGATTTTCATATTGAATTCAATCTGCAAACCAATTCTATCATGGTATATAAACAAAATTGTAAACAATAATGGCATTAGAACAGGAGCCAATAATTGGTCCATCAAGAATTAGATTATTTTTTATACATCAAGAAATATGTTTAACTGACATGTATATAAGAAAATTTTATGCGAATCAATTACTTGCACGTTGCTACTATCATCAATGGAAAAACAGATGTATACAAGTTAATTTAACCGGGTTGACAATTCCAATATTAGTCCAAGTTGATAGGCTAATCGCTTAGATTATAGGTGAAAAAAAAAAACATCCGTCAAATACACCTCTGACACGGATTTGTTTTTATTCTATACATGCCGTGCTCTGACACAGACTTGTTCTTATGAGTCAGCACGGCTCCAAAATTAAATTTCGCACGAGTTAAAAAATACAAGCCTGCAGCCATGCTTTTGCGTCAGTTCGAGCCGTGCATAGTCAGCATGGCTCGGACTGACATAATTGTAGAATGTGGCCTTTCTGCAGACTTTATTTCTATGCCTAGTCATTGCTGAAATTGTCTATCAAGAACCGAACTTTGAAGGCATCTTTTGCTTGATTGCAGCTGTGCAAAACCCAAGATTCTTCCCTTGTTCGTTGCTTCTAAGGATTTAGCTGTGAGCCCATAATTTTTTTTCCTCGGTTAAAGCAGGGTAAGTGCAGAAACTGCTTCAATCAGCTCAGGTTTTTACCTTTGGCTGGATTTGGACTGACCCTTTTGGTTTTTTGTTTCTCCTCTTTAAATAGAGAAAGAGGCCTAATGGAGACAGAAAATGGAGATGGCCAATCCCGGTTGGAAGAATATGAAGTAATGGAGCAGATTGGCAGAGGAGCTTTTGGAGCAGCATTTCTTGTTTTGCATAAAATTGAGAAAAAGAAGTAAGAATCTCTTAAACCCCAGTTTTCCCATGTGGGTTGTGCCTAAGTGTGCGTGTTCTTGTGAATTTGTGTGTCTATATATTCTTTTTAATTTATGGGCTCTGTTTATTGGGTTATTCTGCACATATTGGTGTATTTAATGAAAAGCGGATAAATATTCATAATTCTTTATCTTTTTGGTGTTCGGTTAATTCTTCAAAAATAAAAATAAAAAAAAACATTATTGGCTTTTTCTTCCCATTCTTCTTCCTTCTTTCCTTCTTCTTTGGCTGCTTCTTTCTCTTTCTTTTTTCCTCTAGCCATGTGAATTTAAGCAGAAGTATTTCAACATGGCATCGAAAAATCAGTTAATACCAAGAAAAAGATGCTACAAAATGCCCATTACAAGTAACTCAAGTAGGAAACAGAAATCAATCAATTGATATAAAGAACAAGCAAGGATTCACAGAATTAACACATAAATAAAATAATGGTTTTTGGGAAGAATACTGGCAGAAAATTACTTGACAGTTAGTTCACAGTGGTTCTGGCTTTTTCTTTACTATAATATTTTCTTGAAATTTTGTAATTGAGAGGGCAAAAGGAGCCTTTTTTGCTGATAATTTTAGTAATAATTAATATGCATCTGGAAGTAATGTTGAAAATTGAGAAGTGAAACTAATATATGATGCCTGTTTTCACTTTTCTGTTGGATTGAAATGAAATTCTTTTGTGTTGTTATTGTTATTTATTTTCATGAAATAGTGCACAAGAATATGACCCCCAGCCCCAGCTCATCCGGCTCAAACTTCACATGGCCTTATCGGCCTTTGTCAGGCGCCTGACACTTTTTTTTTTTTACTGCCGAGAGGCAATAAAAAAAGTCACGCCCATTCTGACTTTTTCAAATTTTTTCCCAAAAAAAAAAAAATTGCTCTCATGCATCCGTGCTAACTCAGCACGGCCGCTATAAATTGAAAAACACCTTATATCAGAGGTGCATTTGGCGGATGTTTTATTTTTTTACCTATAATCTAAGAAATTAGCCGAGTTGATACTCATGCCCACACGCCACACCTAAGATTTTGTACACCATACACAACGTCGCAAATGTCAAACTCCACCCAGCCTGCCTGCCAAGAGAAAAGTTGAAAATTTTCGACTTGATTTGATTTGGAGGGATTTCGGCCCCTAAATAATGCACGTAAAGGTCCCAGCTAACTATTTTGCAGTACAACTTCTTTAATCTATCTTCTGACTATTTGCCTCATCATAACATGCACTTCAGTTCTTAAGATAGCAAAGGGGAAAAAAAATTTTTGTTTTGTTTGGAGGAAAGGACTCATCTTGAAGCAGAAACCATGAAGAATCATGAGCAAAAGGCCACAAGACCAGAGCCCAAACATAGAGGAATTAAAGCTATGCCCTTTGTCATAGGTTGGTAAATTTGATGCTTCTTGTACTATTTCTGCACATAGATAAGTGTATGTCTTGGCGTACTTTGGATAACCTAACCACGGGATGAATTTTGTATGCAGGAAATGAAACTTTTGAGAAGCTTGGAACCATTGGAACCTCATCCAATCTCTTGATTTATTTGACTTCTGTTTTCCACATGAAGACCATCACTGCCGCCAATATCATCAACATCTTCAATGGCACTTGCAACTTTGGTACTTTGGTTGGAGCTTTCCTTTGTGATACTTATTTCGGCCGCTACAACATGCTCGGGTTTGCTTCAGTTTCTTCTTTCCTGGTAAGCATTAGTCCATTGATTACTCATCTAAATAGCATTTTTCTCCATAGCTCGATCGAGTTCGGGTTTTAATTAAAGCTTCTTGTAATTCTTGGATCATTTTGAAGGACATGATCATTTCAATTCTGAGTACCCTCTTCTGCTCTTCTGCAGGGCATGTTGATGCTTACGCTAACAGCTGCAATCCACAATCTGCACCCCCCTGCATGCGGCGATGGCAGCATATGCGCCAGCCCAACACTATGGCAGATGGCATTTTTGTTAGGCGGTTTTGCACTGCTAGTAATAGGGGCTAGTGGCATTAGACCATGTAATTTAGCCTTCGGAGCTGATCAGTTCAATCCCAAAACAGAGTTTGGGAGAAGAGGGATCAATAGTTTCTTCAATTGGTATTATTTGACCTACACTTTCGCCATGATGGTGTCACTCACAATCATAGTCTACGTTCAATCCAACATGAGCTGGTCTATTGGACTAGGGATTCCAACGTTTCTCATGTTCCTGTCTTGTGCACTCTTCTTCTTGGGCACAAGAATTTATGTTATCGTTTTGCCGGAGGGAAGTCCATTGGTCAGTGTAGCTCGAGTTGTAGTTGCTGCAATCAGGAAAAGGAAATTACAGCTGCCGGAGGAACCTAAGCAGTCCCTTTTTAGAAGTTTCTCTACCGCAAGTTCCATCAATGCAAGGCTTGCTTATACAGATCAGTTCAGGTAATAATGGACTCAGCATTTTTTTTTTTTCATATTCTACAACTCATATCACATGCTGCTGGTTAGTACTACTAGTACTATCAAATTAGTGTATATAATATAACCAAAATTTTTTTTTTTAAAAAAATGATATAATGATTTTAGCCTTTATAGGTAATCAAAGTTCCCAAAATAGGCCCACCTCTATTCTCTTTGCCCCTTTTCAATATCATGTTTTGGTTGCAATTCTCAATCCTTTCTTTTACCACGAAATCCCTTACATTGCCCTTCCCTTCAGTCCGATTTGAACAAATAAACAAGGGATAATTGCAGAAACCTCCCCTGAGATTTCTGACATTTGCACTGACCCCCCCTAACAATTTTGAAATTGCATTAACCTCCCCTAGAAAAAAGTTGGAACTAATTTAAAAGGTAAAAGTGTGTGAAATTACTAGAGTACCCCTATTACATTTGACTTTACCAGATGAAAGGTTTGAGTACTTTCATCAAAATCAACGTTTAATTTGTTAAACAAATTAAACTAATCAAACTATTTCTGCATAGTTAAATTAATTAACTAATTAACTAATTATCTAATTAACTAATCAAACTATTTCTTCATAGTTAAACTAATAACTAATTATCTAATTGTTAATAGTTATTAACTAATCAAACTATTTCTGCATAGTTAAACTAATTAACTATTAACTAATTATCTAATTAACTATTAGCTAATTAACTAATTATTTAATTAATTAATAATCTAATTAACTAATTTCTATTTATCTAATTAACTAATTAAATAATTATCTAATTAACTAAATCTGTTGTCTGTCCGAAACTAACAAACTATTTGCATGTTAAACTAATTAACTAATTAACTGCTTAACTAATTAACTAACTAATTATCTAATTAATTAATTAACTAATTAACTAATTTCTATTTATCTAATTTACTAATTATCTAATTAACTAAAACTGCTGTTTGTCTGAAACTAACAAACTATTTGCATGTTAAACTAATTAACTAATTAACTAACTAACTGATTAATAGACTATTTGCATGTTAAACTATATGCAGTACGCATTACCTATTTAAAGTATCGGCTCTTTATGGGTATTTTACTTTCAAACATTTAATTTATGATAAAAATATCAATATTTGTAAGTAAAATTCAAAAAGTGTTACAAAAAATATCAATATTCTTACTTTCAAATATTTAATTTATGGCCCTATGTCCCTCCCCTTTTGTAAGAATATTACTGTAATACTTTTGAATTTTACTTACAAACATTGATGCTTTTATCATAAATTAAATGTTTGAAAATAAAATACCCATAAAGAGCCAATACTTTAAATAGGTTATGCGTACTGCATATAGTTTAATATGCAAATAGTCTGTTAATCAGTTAGTTAGTTAATTAGTTAATTAGTTAAGCAGTTAATTAGTTTAACATGCAAATAGTTTGTTAGTTTCAGACAAACAACAGTTTTAGTTAATTAGATAATTAGTAAATTAGATAAATAAAAATTAGTTAATTAGTTAATTAATTAACTTAGTAATTAGTTAATTCCTTAATAGTTAATTAGATAATTAGTTAATAGTTAATTAGCTTAACTATTAACTAATTAGTTAAGCAATTGTCAAGCAAATAATAATTTTCAAGTAAGATGAGGGCAAAATTGGAAGAAATATTTTATCTCACTTCTACAAATAATTTTTTATGGGACATCAAACTGTCAGGGAGGTTTCTGCAACGAATGGTTACTGTTCAGGGGAGGTAAATGCAATTTCTAAACCTAGAGGGGAAGTCAGTGCAAATGTCAAAAATCTCAGGGGAGGTTTCTGCAATTATCCCAATAAACAAATGTAAGTTGTGCACATTGCAAGCAGTAATTAATATAAATTAAATTGAAATTGTACCTATTAATAGTTTTGGGGCAAAGAGCCAATTATTGATAGTTCAACAGGGGCAGCATGCAATTAACTAAAAATTCATACTGCTCTGCTTTTATTGTTTGGTTCAGAAGAGGAAACTCTTGAGCTGGTATGGAAAATTGACAATTTTCCAGAATCACGAAGAAATACCATCTTTTCTCCTGTCCCTGTCGATAGAACTAATATTTAATTTCATCAGTTGCTCCAAAAGGATAATAGTAAATAGCTGCAAAGTCTAATGGAGAATTAATTATTTCAAGACGGACCTGCCTAACACCTATCCTATTTTCGATAAATGAGCACAATGGACCTCAAACTTTTAGCAAATTATAATTTGTCATTCTTATATATCTTTTTCCTTTTTCTTTTTTGGTTGAACTTGTGCTCAAGTTTACTAGTTTTGTCCACCAACAGTAAAAAGCACTGATTCAAATCTCTTTTGATACATGATCAAATCCGAGCAAATCACTCTAAAAGGCCCTTAATGTCTTTCACAAACATGCCAGGTAGTTCTCAAAGTAATCACTAAATACTGCAGTTTCCAAGTTTCCTTGGGCAGATAAAATTGAATTGAAATTGTGAATTTAATAATGATTGCCCACAATTGTTTAGTCCATTGCTTCACAAATTCTTTTGGAAAATTTCATAAAATTTTGTTTAATGCCTGATAATCTTAGGCCATGTTTGATAATTCAATCCAATACTTAAATTTAATGGATTTATATCTTAATATGTTCAAGCGCGTTTGATAACCAAAAATTGAATATCTGAATTAATTAAGTGACATTGAAGTTCTTAAGCAAAACTTGCTCTCAAAAATTAGTGATATGGTATTCAGTTATCACTGAATATGATATACACTCAAATATATTTGATTTAATATTTAACAATTCAATAGTTTAATGAATTTATATTTCAAATTTCAAATTTCAGATTTCAATTTTCAAACTTCAGTTTTTATCAAACTTTAATACATTTCGAGGTGAAAGATCAGTTTACAGAACAACTATGCATTTACTTTACAGACGAACCAATATCTTGGCTTAATCAGTGGATAAATGCTTTGCATTAACAAGCAAGATGGTTTTGCATTCAGATTTCTCAACAAAGCTGCAATCATAACATCTGAAGATCAAATAAACCCAGATGGATCAGCTGCAAATCCATGGAGACTTTGCGATATTCAACAAGTTGAGGAAGTGAAATGCTTGTTAAGAGTGATCCCAGTTTGGATTGCAGGCATCATCTACTTTGTTTCTGTGGTCCAACAGCAAAACTACGCTGTATTTCAGGCCCTTCAAGCAGACAGGCGGTTTGGCAAAAGCAAGTTCAAGATCCCTGCAGCTTCTTACATCGTATTCGCGATGTTAAGCCTTACAATCTGGATACCAATTTGGGATAGAATCGTAGTTCCATGGCTGAGGAAACGCACAGGACATGAAGGTGGCCTCACAATCCTGCAAAGAATGGGAATTGGCATGGCATTGTCCATTTTAACCATGGTTGTATCAGGCTTGGTTGAAAATAAGCGACGAGCGACTGCCCTTACTAAGCCAACACTAGGGATTGAACCACGAAAAGGTGCCATTTCTTCAATGTCAGGTTTTTGGCTAACTCCACAATTGGTTTTTTCAGGGCTGACTGAGGCATTTACGATTGTTGGCGAAAATGAATTTTTCTACCAGCAATGCCCTGAAAACATGAGGAGTATTGCCATGGCATTTGTATTTGTTGGGATTGCAGGATCGAGTTATTTAAGTAGTTTATTATCATCAATAGTCCAAAGCATAACAAGTAGAAGCAATGGAGAAAGCTGGTTAGCAGAAGATCTCAATATGGGAAAGTTGGATTACTTCTATTACTTTATAGCTGTGCTGGAGCTCCTGAATTTGATCTACTTTCTGGTCTGCGCCAAGTATTACAAATACAAAGAAACAGACACCACCCCTGAGGTGGCCATGGAGAAAGTAGTGCAATCTGAAGAAAAGGCTGTTGTTTGAGAAATTAAAGAACTTGAGCAGTTTCGGTTATAAATAAATTAAGGGATGGCATCCCTTTTTTTTAAAAAAAAAAAAAAAAGAACTTGAGCAGACAGATGATAAAGTATTTGCACCTCCAACCTGGATCAGTAATGGGGAAATGGGAAAGGAATTTGCCATTTGCCACAACATTTTTTTAGTACTGGTCTTTCTGGAATGCAATTTTTAGGCAACTAGTCGGAGCCATTTTTTCTGTGCTCAAATGTCATTTGAGCTGTGTTTTACTTTCAACAGCCTGAAATAAAGAAGAATGAGTTGCAGTAATTCATTATTCCAATAAGCCTTGTTAAATACCCGCTTCGATTGGCCCTTCCATGTCTCTATACTTGAGAAGCAATATCTGTGAAATCTGTATTACAGGGCGAATAAGGTAAGGCTTGCTCGCATGTAAAGTTGATTGAATGATTTTCTCTACTGCAAAAATGTTCTTTGAGTTTTGGTTCGATAAATTCTGTTAAAAGATTGTGAAGGGGATGGTGGAATGGTTTTTCTGCTAAAAAAGTCCTTTCAGTTTTTTTCCCCTTTATGGATTATCTATGAAATGAATTTTCTTGTAGATTAAATGTCTTGGTGTAGTCATTAAGTATCTAAATATGCTTCAGCTTGAGCTTGACAACAATCAAAAGCTCTCCAATTCAGCTCAAAAAAAATTAAACTCTATCTACTTCAATTCGAAAGTTTTAGCTATACTTCCACGTGCAATTGTACTCACTTTTGTATTTAATGTTGTGGTAAATGCACACAAAAAAAAAATCATATTTCATACAAAGTGGATACAAATGCCAATTTGTGATAACATCCTAAAATTAATACAGATCTTTTGTTCCACTTCTTATTTCCACTCTCTACTCCACTTTTTGTTATATTGCTATTTTCCTTCTACAAACATCATTTTTTTGTCTTATTATCAAATAACTACTAACACAGTAAAAAATAAATATAACCATCTCAACAAAGTAATATATAATAGAAAATCAAAAAATATAGCAGAAAATTCATTTTAAAAAACCTCATTTTTTGTGTATTTTTATTTTTTGAGTTTGTCAAATTTGTGTATTATTCAGTAATAATTATTGGATTTTAAGGAAACAAAAAAATTAAAATATGATGTTTATGAAGGAGCAATAGTAATATAATAAAAAGTGAGATAGATAGTAGAACAAGGAGAGGGACAAAAAATCCATTGCGGCCTAAAATTGTGCAATCTTCACAAAGTGAGCCAAAGCTCCCATCAAGTGAATAAGCTGAAGCTAAAGCTCAACTTACTAAAGCTTGATCCCAAATGAAATTCTCCTAACTTGGTTAGTACCGTACATGATACAGATTAAAAATGAATGCACTGGATTTGTACAAACAGGCATAAATGTGCATATCACGGAAGTTCATACTTCATTGAATGTATCTGCAAGTCGACTTCAAAATCCGCACTAAAATTAGGACCACCATTCACACTCACCTGAGTTGGTGCATTCATAATGCTTGGCCACCAAATTGATGCAAAAATATAAATAAATAAATAAAGGCTTAGAGGCATCCACACACTAGTATACTTTGTGTATTGTCACAATTATACTGGATTAAGTTATACAAATGTTATCGTTATCGAAAAAATAATATGAAGTCGGAACAATGGGATTCAAGTATCATCTACGTCCATATTCTAGTGAAAATTTTAATTTGGCCCTCTAAACTATGCTATTGTAACAAGCAAGTCCTTTGTTTGTAAATTAACTATCACACCCTAATTGACAAATTTAATTTCAATTTGCTCCCTTCCACTAACTTGGTTTATACACCACACTAGTAAGCAAATTAAAACCTTGCACTTGGGGATCGATGTCACCCTTGTGACTTGTAAGAAGACGAGAATTGTTATTAATAAGTGTTTAAAGGTATCGATGCCTGTTGATTAGCTTGGTATATGTGTTGTTTATTCAAACACTAATATGATATCTAGTCTACTTTAGTCTCTCGGCCACAAATTTTTAAGTAAATAAGTGTGTTTAGTGTATTTGAAAATTGACATTTATGAACAGAAATTAAAACTTTATCTGTGCGGACAACTCAGTTAACATATCATTTGCTGTGGATTAGGTAGAAATTATAGCATATAGTTAGCCAAATTCACTTGGTCCGTTAGGCCTATATTGTATGAGGCTATGAGCCTTACCAAAAATTATATGATGAAACCGTGGTTTCCCTTGGAGAAATAGCAGATGGTTTGTCTTGGAGGAAGATGCATCATGGAGCCAGCTAGCTTTCCACTACTATTCATGTCATAATTTGTCGCACTCGATCTCAAAACATTTCTAGTTTCCTAAAGCATTTTTGGAAGTGTGTTCATGTCAAATGTGGAATCAAGACTGTAATCATTTTTCAAACTTTTTTTAACCTGCTTCGCCGTTACTAATAAGCATTCGAGTTTCAACTAAACGAGTAGAGCGGAATCGAGTTTTAACTTAATTTAGGAACTTGATTAAAATTTATTAAGTTCAAGTCATAAAGTTAATACTATACACAATATATGTAAAAATGGGTAAAATAGGTAGTGCTCTATGATAACTATCAGCGCAGCAAATATTTGCACTCAAGTTCAAATTGAATGTTTGGTTAAGCTGCTCGAAGTTGACTCGCTATCAAATGATGTCTAACTATTCATCAGACCAACTTTGTGAGTTGGCATGATTCTTTCACAAACCTAATCAAAAACTTGATGTCTTTCAAGGAGGGATGCATCTTTCGTACCCGAAACACAAACGATTATCAGTTACAACCGGTTGGAATAATATAATGCTTTTTGAATACGTTGTAACTCTACGTGAACTATTTTGTAAAACTTCATAATAGATACATAATTAATAATAAATACATAATTATTATACATAGAACCCCATGAATAATAATAAAATGTTACACTTTTTTTGTAAATATAAACAAATAGTTAAAATGTAGTTATAACTTCTTTAAAAAATATTACACTGTTTTGGACGATTATCACTAATAGGCAGCGGTCCATGCCCCTGTCTGTCTCCTTCTTGAGCATGACTAGCATTTATAGAACCCCCAAAAAAATCTCAAGACCACAAATGTCCCAACAAAAGAACATCCAATCCGACACGAAACCCTTCTCGTTGCCCTTCGTCATTTTTGGATTGGTCTAATTGGGCTATCTATATCGCATATAGAAGGGCAAATTATTCAATTGGCCCTTTAACTCTTTGTCTAGGTAAAATTAAGCCCCTCATCTATTTTTTGCTGACTTTAAGCCCTTGAACTTGTAAAATGAGAAATCCGTGGCCCTTTTAGCCAGTTTCTCCGGTTTTGCAACCGGAGGACCAATTCACACGAATGCCAGTGTGCTTCTTTCAAGGGCATTTTTGTCCTCATATTCTAAGTAAAAAGGGTACACATAGTCCACCTTCTCTCCACTGGCTTAGAAATCAACGGGGAATACAGTGGCCAAAATTTTCCCAAATGCCCGCCTAGACTCGTAAACGGACTTCCCAAAAACTACTGAATTGGGTAAAGAAAAATAAATATTCTCAAAGATGCAAGACTTAGGCTCCAGATGAGACATCAGACAAAGAGATCCAACCCCGTTTTTATCCACAACCAATACCTCACCAGGCATTAAAGACATCAGAAACCAAACCAATATCCTCAAAGATGCAAGCTTGGACTTGTTAAAGACATCAGAAACCAAACCAACTCCAGTAATCGATTTGAGGATGTTGTCATGGACGGAGACGATGCCGGTGCCTTCTTGGCCGCGGTGCTGGACCGTGTGGAAGGCTAAATAGCACAGGCGAGAAGCTTCGGGGTCACCATAGATGCCCATCACGCCTCACTCCTCTCTGGGTTTGTCGTCATAATCGTCGGAGACGACGTCGGAGATATGATTCTTGGAAGCGGCCGAGACACCGGTCCAGTGGACTTTGCGGGTGTGGGTGACGGGGTGGCAGGGTTTTTGAAAAGGAAGAGCAGAAGGGTTTGTCATGAGGAGGGGTTGTAAGCGGAAAGAGCTTCTGGGAGGCCGCAGCTGCTGCGGTGGCGGCAGAGACGGCCATGGGATTGCGTGGGGGTTGCGCAGGGAAGAGTAAGGGAGGTGAGGGAAATCAAATAGAAAGGTGGACTATGTGTGCCCTTTTTACTTAGAATATGAGGACAAAAATGCCCTTGAAAGAAGCACACTGGCGTTCGTGTGAATTGGTCCTCCAGTTGCAAAACCGGAGAAACTGGCTGAAAGGGCCACGGGTTCCCCATTTTACAAGTTCGAGGGCTTAAAGTCAGCAAAAAATAGATGAGAGGCTTAATTTTACCTAGACAAAGAGTTAAAGGACCAATTGGATAATTTGCCCCATATAGAATGCTGTTTATTTATTCTTTTGCACAAGACCACAAATTCTTTTTTTTTTCTTTTTTTTTTTCTTGTTGGGGTAAGGTAAGAGTCTAAGGCCAACCCACTTTATTCTCCAGTAAATTCATTACCCTTGTCTCCAGTTATAGACGCAGAATTCAGGTTTTAACCCCTTTGCCTTGTATTAGTAGGCGGATTAGTTAAGTCTCCCGTTCGAATTGAACAAAATTATTTCATTTAAAATGTCAAGATTTAAGAATTCAGACAAGATAGAACCAACATATATTAGCAAATAGCATGCAACAATTTATGTTAAAACACTAAGATGATTACTTTCATTGCGTGAAAATGGCAATCTGGACGCATTCATGAATCATTCGGAAGTTATTTTCAGATTTTAATAGCTGTGTGAAAATGGCAACTGGGCACGAGTGATCAGTAGTCATAAGGGCACAGCTGTGAAAGGGATATCTGAGATGGTGAAATTGCTAAAACACTAAGATGCTTACTTCCATTGTATTACTTGCTATCACGAGATATGGAGATTTTGTTGTTTTGCAGGGAAAAGTTTATCTAATGGAAACGTGAGTTCACAGAAAAATCAAGAAAAGTGCCAAACAGAAACCACAAACATAATTGCTCGCAATTTTTTGCTTGTACAACTCCTAATTGGTGACATGAGAAATAGATGACAAAGTAGGTTGAATCATCACTAGATCCAGCTCAAGTTTGAGAAGCTATGATCATGAACTGATCAACCCTTTGAAATTCACAGACGTATGGCATAAAAGCATGTGTTGTTCTAGTGAAAAGACCCGGAATCCCTCAAACAAGCTACAACTGCAAAGAACCTCTCAACTATATAAGTTTAGCAGCTCAATTACGTACCTTTTGTGTTCCCCATGCAAAGCATACTACTAAATGATCCTTCAATTTTGAACAACGCAGAGAGGATGAGCACGGCATGCGCAAGGAGGACGTGCACAAATCTAGATATGGTCCAAATTTTAGCACCAAAAAAAAAATGATCCTTCGATTTTTTTTCTTGTGTTATTATTATTGTTATTTTTTTTTAACGTACCCTTGTTTAAGTAATTTTGATCCTTA